CTTTTACACCCTTTTAAAGAACAAGCCAATGGATTCCAATGGACTTGGAACTACAACCAGGCAATGTCTACTTAATGCTAAAAAGCAGATTGGATCGGACATGTATCCTTAGTCAAACAATCTGCAGATTCTGGCAGAAATGGCACAAGGTTCATTATCAAGGAGTTCAAATGATAGCAAGAAACCTCAGAGAAAAACACTGAAGACTTGATAGCCCTACTTTTTTCTTCCTTTTTTTGGAGTAGTCCTGTAATTTTATTGTTTTTAAAGTGTTCCAATCAGATTTGCCAGTACTTGTGAGTTAAAGGACTTAAATCCATTTGTTGGGATCATCTTTGACATTATAGTTAGATTTTATTTTAAAGGGACCAGCAATTAGAAACAGAGCCTTTCTTTTCAATTTGCTCATTTTCTTCTGTCTTTACATTTTATTATTCAACACGACCCGAAGTAAAAAAAAAAAACGCTTCCTCTCACATCTATGCGTCAAAAAGATCAATAACTTGTCTGGGGCTCTGCCACCGCAATGAAATCCTGTTAGCATGCCAAGAAGCTGCAAAAGTTCCCAATAAATGCGTAGCAAAACTTTCAATTTGTGGCTTTCTTGGTGTGGCTCTTGCAGCCAATGGGCTGTCAGTCAGAGCTCTGCTTCAAAAAGCCCTGAGGTTTGTTTTCTGCCTGTTCTTTTTGGAAACTTGTGGCTTTTGTGACATCCGCAGCCATCCATTGGGCCGTGTTGTTGTATTGCCTCATATTATCCAGAGTTAAAGAGAATTGTTTTTGGCAACAGAATGCTAACATTTTCCTATGGCGCAAAACCTCCAAGTGGGGCCCTCCTCTTTTTCTTGCAACCAAGGATGATGATCAGAAAGCTTTGCAAGGTCCCACGCCAGTTGCTATGGTTACTTAAACAGCATTAAAGAGGCTGGGAGATTACTGTACCGGTCATTCACTCAAGCTTTGACTTTTAGCTAAACTTTCAAAACCATCACAAATGCTTTGTGGGCCCTCTACAGAAAGCCCTGTCTGGGTATGTCTGCTGTTTTGTTTTTTGTTAAATGAGTTCTGAATATAAACAAAGCTGGATTTCGATTCATCATGTGTTTAAGGTCCTTGTAAAAACAGTGAGGAAGTCCACTTACTGAGCGTCCCTCGCTATGTCATGTTTTCTTTTGTGCGCTCGGTCATCATGACATGTCAATACGAATGGTGCTAAAGTGTTGTTGAAAAACTCCTGACTCTGTCCAATAACAAAAGCTGTGCTATGAACACTAATAATGGTGGGGTTTTCCCTCCCACCTAGTGTGAAAGCACACACTGCAGACATGATGAAAGACACACACACACACACACACACACACACACAAAACTGTTAAAGAACTAGTTTTTCAGGCGTCTGCACTGTTATCGCTCTCTCCTTTTTTTTATGTTGGACTCAGACTGTTTTTTATTTATCTCGTGATTTTTTTCTCCGCTTGTATTCAAAAAAAATGTGTAGACACACACACACACACACACACACACACACACACACACACACACACACACACACACACACACACACACACACACACACACATACAGACACATACGAGGGTCTGGACAGGTCTGGGTGGATTCTGCAGGTGGCTACACTTTCATAAAGCCCTGACTGGATTTGTTTATGTTTGAGGTCATATGGGCCAATGAGAGAAGTTTGTGTGCCCAGACACACACTTAGACACACTTTCTAATTACCCTCGCTGCAGTGTTTCTCTTTTCCATAAGACATATTGACATGTCAGCATTCAGCAGGCAAGATATAGAACAAATGGACAATTTACCTCTCTCTGTGTCGTGGAAAATGTACCCCTCCCAGTATAGGCCTGTCTCTATCCGGAGCTGTCTCACAAACCCAGAGTGAAAGTCACTTTGAGATGATGGTGACACGTGCAATAAATCATAGCACCGGCAGTCAGTGGCCAATCACATTTTCCTTCCCTAATTAATAGCTTATTTATTTCCTTGGCGGTCCTGCTGCAAGGCCAGGCTATTCTGTGTTTTCTGTCGGTGTGTTTTGTCTGGTTTGTGTGCCAGCATATCTTTGAGTGAGTGTGTGTGAGTGTGTGTGTGTGTGCGTATGTGTATGCCAGTTTTGAACGATCATCTCTGTGTTACAGTTTATGTCATCATTGCACCAGTCTTTTCTTTTCAAAACTTGAACCCCTGTACACTGCCAACCTTTTAATAAAAAATACAACAACAACAAAAAATGTAATCATTGGGTAGCTTCCAACAGACAAACAATTTGGATTATAATTGTATAGAATTCAAAGCCAGGAAGCTTTATAATTATCCTTTTCCTGACAGTCAGCTTAGAGTTTCTGGATCCAAAAACTGAGGTTTGGATGATAGAAAGTGCATTCATTCCCGACCCCCCACCTGAAGCTGAAAGGCATTAAGGCATCATTATAAATCACTCTTGTCTGCTTGCTTGTCTTCTACAGTTTTAGGTTATTCTTGCACAATTTGATACACACACATATTTACACTTGGACTGTAGCTCAACAGAGCAGAGGGAAAGTCCAGAAATTGTCCTATATAGTTGAACGCCTGGTAGCATTTTAGACGACCCAGCCAAGCTGTTGGTTTTGTAAACTGTTGCAGCTGGTCTTATGCATTATACGAAAGGGGAAGTCCTTGCTTCGTAACACCCCCCCCACACACACACACACACACATGCACACACACACACACACACACACACTCCCTATTTTACTATCTCCTCTATCGCCATGTTTAAAGTTGACCAATGTTTTTCAGTAACGTGGCCTTTAGTGTCTCAATTTTTCATTCAAACAGCCACATAAGCATCTGTGGCTATCTTAACCAAAACCCATACAGGACACTGCAGAAAAGCCAGATTTCTCATCTGTGGTATATTAAATCATATACATTTTAAACATAATGTTCAAAGAAATCAAAGAACTAGACACACTTAAGATCAATCTTGCTGTTTTCTTTAGTTTTTAGTAATTTTAAATCTGTGGTTAAAGCTCCTCTGATGGAAGTTCAGTTCATATGGCCTTTAAAAGTAAATGAAATAATCAGCAACAACATTGGCTGTTTCTATATTGTCATTTTAATTTTAATCTACTGGCACAGGGTAGGTGTCAGACGATAAATCAGGATTTATTTTTATTTTTTTACATTTTTGACTTTTAAATTAAAGACAAATGAGATTATTTGAGGGAACACGACATATATACATACAGGACAAGCTCAGCAAAGACTCAACAACTACAACTTTCTCCACTGGGGCGTTGAAATGACCCAAACTGAAATTCCTCGGTGGTAGCGTTAATATAATATTGAGTCTCAGAGAATGTTTATTCCTCATGGACACAAATTTATCGTTGAGAAAAGTACTACACTTATCCACTCATTTGCATACTTTTGAAATAAAGTTGCTACAGTTACGGGTCAAAAAGATGAGACAAATGTGATGGGCTATGGGGTAGACTGCTTCTCTTTGGGGATGACATGTTCAGTGTTGTGATGTTTGAAACTGTTTCCAGGAACAGGATGCTTCTGTAAAGGTTTAGATGAGGTGTAAGTAGGCCAAGAAAACTGTTGTAACTATCTCTGGTCTAATTGCTCCCATTTGGATATAGGCTGAGAAACAGATCCCTTGACAGCTTAATGATGAAACCACTGAAAACAGAACATTGTTGTACATCTGGTTCTCTGGTTAAATAAGAGGAGAGAAAGAACAACTGAGAGTGAATTTGCAATGTTTTAAGATAGTAGTTTATTATCCTAAGGAATCAACGATCTTTTGGATGGGCTTTTTGACACCTTTATCTAAAAGCACATGTCTATGAACATGTTTTTAAGCAGTTCATAATCACTTCCTCTGAATTGAGGCCTTGTATAGAAAGGTGCCATAACGGTGTTGCTGTATGCCAGAATTCTAAGAATAGCTCCACAGTTTTCAGGACAGATTCCATTCAAGATAAATGTCTCTTTCCCAGTCCTGATGGGCCACACTGGTTTAGAAAATATAAACTTTAATATTCAGCTATAATACAAAGGCAGCCAGTCTTGTCACAACACCCAAACAGCACCCCTACTGTTAAAGGGGAGATTGGGAGGATAGGGAGCAGGAAAAGGGAGGTTCAGATATGCTGTGTGCCTCTGTATGAGGAAGTTTTATAGGCCTAATTTCACTTAAACTCAGAAAAGTGCCTTGTTGATCCCCACACCCCACCTAAAACCGCTCTGAAAACAGTCTGCATTGCTTCTTTGATCCTCAGTTGCCATCAATGGGCTTCAGAGGGAGAAAAAAAAAGAAAAAGAGACGGACAGACTCTGGGTTGCCATTATATGTGAAATGTCCCCTCGTTGCAGCAGAGCAGCCCCATCTCTTCATCATTCCCCCACTTCCTTCATTTCCTCTGTTAGACACTGGGTGTATTCTACCACCCATCTGCCCCCAGTAAATATTGCTTGAAGGCTTAATTACACACACACACACACACACACACACACACACACACACACACACACACACACACACACACACACACACACACACACTGACACAGACAGAGTCTCAGCAAAATTTCCTGCAACGCTGAAGCGTAGAATTAACGTCAAATCTGTAGGGCATTCATTCATCAGAGTGGCTGTGTGTGCAGTGTTATGTTTGCTTCTGTGTGTGTTTTTGTGACCTCTCAGTCCATTATTATATCCCTCTGGTCACATTTGTGGCCCAGAGGGTATGTATGATGAACTGTGAACACCCTGTGCCCATGTCATCAAGCAGAAACAGTCACTACCCCAACCTTGAGATCAATACTCTCTTTAAATGCTTTGATAAACACACACTTTACACACTCCTATTAGTCCAAAAAAGAATAACTGTTGATCTGCTAATACTTTGCTTCTTGATAATGTTCAATAAGGTTGTCAGTTTGAAGCTCTTTTAAAAATAAATATCTTTTTATGTTTTCTCTCAGCAGATGATGAATGATCACGTTGAAGCCTCACCTGACAGTTGCATCAAAAAGGTAAGAAAGGTTGTCCTGTTTATACTTTTTTTTTTTTTTTTACCTCTTCATATTCGTCACCTGTGCCTTGTGTAACATCTCTGTTATCTCTCTTGGTTTAACTTTACATCAAGGGTGTCAAAGTCGTTGCGAGATGAAGTGGAGGGTTTTACCAATAAAGTTTTCCTTTATTTCTATGGTGTATTGATGATTCCTCTTTCCTGGATCTCCTCGCGCTGATACACAATATATACCTCCATAAATGAACATCCAGCTGCAGCTTTGAATCATAAACATGACAGCAGCTCACAGGTTAGGTTTTTCTCAAGTTTCTCATACCACCTCTGAACAGACCGTAACAGTATGATAAACTGAAACTTAGACTGAAGTGACAGAAACATATACCTCTGAGTAGCTTAACTTGCTTTTTTTATCCTATAAATGTCTTAATTTTTGTAGCTGTGTTTGACTTTGTGGGTGTGTAGGTGATGATTGTTTGAGTGATTAAACTTTCTTTTGTTACTTTTACATTTACTCGATTTTATGGTCCGTCCTGCAAAACAAATCTTGTTCCTGCATGAATACATCTGTACAATAGCTGAAATGTATTTTGTTGAATAGAAAAGTCATACACTAGTTAATTAAGTGTATTAATTTTAAAGAAGATTTTATCAGTATTACATTTGCTGAGCTTTCTCCATTAATTTTGATAATAGAAAATGGATCATTGAAAATATAAATTGATGTGTGTTTATGCTTGATTTATCTGATATTTGACAAAAACACTGACACTTGCAGACACACAGTGACCGACACGTCTCATTGACCAGTCACTGACCACTTTATGAGGTGATAAATTTATTGAAGAGGCTGGTAGTTGGTTTTTACCGCCAGTGTCACCAGGTCAAGACAGGACAGGGAGAGAGTTCATGTCCATCTAATGGTCCATGAAAGAACAATGGCTGCAGGAGAGTGGACACTCTGAAAAATGACTGAGGCCATGCAGGCAAGCTCCATGTCAAAGCAGTGTAGACGAAAGCTAAATCAATGGCTGAAAATGAGACAGCAATAAATACATTGGCAACAATTTTATTATTTTTTTTAAGATTCACACATTTAGGATGAAGTATGAGGAAAAGAAGCACCATTTAAATTTACGTTTTAAGGACTAGTCCATAGCTCTCTATGCTTTCTGGAAAGGCATCAGAGACCAATGCTTCCTCAGTGAAACAATGACTGAGCTTGAAAAATATCGTATTTAAAACATTTTTTTGCTTACATGTAGAAAATGCTTAAATCCAATTAGTCACATTCACCAATATCTTCTCAAGATTTCTCTTAAATTTGTTCTGAAGTCGAATTCAAGACATGTTCTTAAACAGCAGAATATGCCATGTCCTGGTGAACTGGAAGCTCATGTATGTTTTTTCTTATAAGCATAGAAAAACAATTATTTTATTTATGACTGTTTGCACACCGCACGCAGAAAGAAGTCACACTGGATCAAAGAGAGAAATGAGTAACCATTATGATCTCTTGTAATGTTCTGAAGTGTACATTGTACAGCAGAAAAAGTTACCTGAATAATTATTGCCTTATTTATTCAGGTAAAAGAACCTCTTCGATTATCTAGTAAACTTCCTGCTTTCTCCATTTTTAGGTGTTGTGACTTATGCCCTTTGATTAGACCTTTGAATTGTTATTTATAAGTTTGTAAGTTAATTCTCCAACACACATGGTTTGCATTGCCTTTATTTGTCTTGCTGTCAATTAGTTTCCATCATGAATTAAGCTATTAAAGTTATCAAATCCAGGTCCTCTTAATAAAAGCTGGATGTTAGTGAAGAGAAGAGAACATAGGTATGGGTATGCTTTTGAGCAACCCTCTACTTAAGAAAAATTTCACTTGAAAAAGTTTTGGCATGGCTTACAGTTATGACAAATGTCACCCTTAGAATAAACAAAATCACTTACATTTCCTCATTGGCATTTTAGGTCAATGGTCATGCTGCTATACCCTTTATAAAAAGGCCCAAATGCAAATGACTGAGTTCTTGGTTGAATTGAAATGCTACATTAGTCAATGAGCTTATTTTAGGAGTTGACCGCAGGTGGTTTGGGCTGTTCCCTGTTTCCCACATGTTCGTACAACGTGGAAAAACATAGACGGTTTTATAAACTAAGTAACCACCTTCCACATTAGAGTGGCCTGTGCACACAGCGCTGCACTTACACACTCACTCATTCACAAACACACACTTCCACACTGACAAGCACAAAGACAGCAACACACAAATACATAGGCCTATACTAACAGGATTGTAAAGTTGTAATGCACACACTCAGGTGTACACAGATGACAGAACACAGACATAACCTACAGTAGAACGAAATCCTCTCTCTCTCTATCACACACACACACACACACACACACACACACACACACACACACACACACCGGCTTCATCTCATTATGCAGAGTGTGAGTTGCGGTGGGCCCTCATCGGGCAGTGGCAGACCACATGCCTGTTATGAATATGAATGAAATTATGCATGGGCCATTCCTTATGACATGACTCATTCATCCACATCATGCAGTAACACACACACACACACACACACACACACACACACACAAACACACATACAGCGCACTGGCACACACACAAACGCACAGACTCACATAAACATTGACTTCTTGTGCCTCCACCATGTCATTACCATGGCGATGCTTGATTAAAGCAGAATGTTAATTGAGTTGTAGCTCTTGAATAAACTAGTTTACTAGTGAAAGGTGTGTGTGTGTGTGTGTGTGTGGGGGGGGGGGGGGCAGGGTAGCAACACCATATGTTATTAGTTAATATTTGTGCTATGTATTGTAGTTCAACTGATCTACTGCTGTGTTACTATGAAGTTTTTTTTTATGTTTAGAGAAATATCTACATGGAATATCAGAACACTATATTTATTCAATCAGCAGATAAAAAATAATAATAAAAGAAATCACACCAGTTCATGGAATGTAAACAAATAATGATGACATATATAAATAAATAAAAACAGGACTCAAGGATGTTGTCCTTGTCTTTTTGTCTCTGTTTAAATAATAAGTAATTAAAGAGATACGTGTCCACCATTTTCTTTCACATTAAAGTATTTAAATGGGCTCTATGTCGTTTTGTGTATCTGAAAGGAGTGTAAAGGCATGTGTGGGGCACTGTTAGAGCCAAGGTTAAGGCAAGGGATAGAACGGAAGCAAAGATGTTATTGTAGCTTCTCAAGCCCACTTATTGAAAGCTGCCCCAGAGCTTACAGCTGTGCATAAGTGTGTGTGTGTGTGTGTGTGTGTGTGTGTGTGTGTGTGTGTGTGTGTGTGTGTGTGTGTGTGTGTGTGTGTGTTTGTGCTTGTGTGTGGGTGTGAGTATATTGGTGTCTATTTGTGTCCATGCCTGTGCATGTGTGTGTGCATGAGGTCTAGGGCCTTGGATTCATATCCTGCACTAGCTTAGGCATGGATTGAGCCACACTGGCCTACACACATGCAGTTACATATCCCACCCACTGACTGAACTAAAAAGATGTTATCCAAAATCTCGTCTCGGTTTACCTCGTCCATCCTCATCCAATCATTTCATCCCCCTCTCTCTCTGAGCAGACAGGATGGTGTTGTTGCAGCTATAGATTGCTATCAGTGGCTATTTGTGATAGGATCAGGGATTGTTTAGTTTGGTCTGGTCTGGAGATATAAAATAGGGCTATCTGTCTGTTTGTCTGTCTAGGCCCTGCTTACATATATTCTCATTCACACACTGCACACACACACACAAGTCTTTGTGTGCGTGTGGAAGTTAATAGGTTATCGGAGGACTTTGTGTTTCTTTTTGGATTCCTTTGGTTTAAAAGTGGTAGCCAGAGAAGGAGTATATGTGTGCGTGCTAATCCTCATCTTCAGAAGAGCTCCGCTGTCCATCCCGACGTGTGTAAACACTCCTGCAGATCAGATGGCAGATAATGACTTCCAGATAGACACCCTCCATTCAACCAGCAGAGAAAATCAATGAGCACTGATTGCTTTTTTCCCAAGACGATCATCTCCCCCTGAAGGCTACTATCTATCTCTCTTTCTATCTCTCTGTCTGTCTTTCTCCTGAAGCCCCACTTCATTCACCTCTCAGCACCACTGAGATTAAATCAATTCAAGCACCTATTCACAGCGGATTTATAGCGTAAAAATACACCGGAATATCTCTTTAAGACGATCAAGTTTCTTTGACTGTGTCACTTTTGTATGGGTGAAGGTGGACATGCATATTTCTCTAAAGCTCAGATGTTCTTCAGAGTGAAATAAACGTCTTGTTTTCTATACTTAACAGACATGCATTTCATGTTCTTTTAGTCAAACTCATTATTAGCATTATTGTTTTACTTGCGTCATGATGCAAGTGAAGCAGCAAAAGTGTGTTTTAGTTGCTCAGTCAGTTGCAAATGGGAAAATGAGAGGGGTGGATATGAACCATGACCTATAAGTAGATTTTTTCCACTCCATGCTGAAAGACTTGGGAGCCAAATGGGGGTCAGATGCAGCGGTGAGTGTATATGTGCGTATGTGCACAACGGTTGTGTGTTCATATCTTTTCTTCCCCCTTGTATCAAGCTGGGGAATTGAGTCTCTAAATACGCCAGCTAAATGACCCTAAATGTATGAGGGCTATTATGTGGACAGAGGGAGGCTCATGGGTCACAGAAGTGATCCAGAGCTTCAGGCCATAGTTTACCCCCCGCTTACAGCATCACACTCCCCCGTCCCTCCCCCTGTTTAAATAGACTCATGATTGATTGATAATTATGATAATTTGTGTGAAATGATTATCTGGATATTATAATCACTGCCCCCATGGAGCCCTTAGGGGTAGAGTCATTTTTCATAATGCTAAACGTCACAAATGCCACCTGGTCACAGGGTTGGCTCTGAGTGTGCTGTGCTTGTGTGTTTGTGTTTATCTATGTTTTCTGGAGGGTTG